CTGTTAGAGGTATGAGGGCGGTTATCACTTCCCGGTTGCCCACACCGTGGAAGGGTTCTGCTGGAGGTACTTGAATAGGAAATTGGATTAGAGGTGGTCACAGTGACCTGAGAGTGTGACCGCAGTGCCCAAGGGACAGCTGATTGAGGTCGGTCACACACGACCTTTTTATGAGTAATTTTTGTGTTAGCTCCGTACTTGTTGAGACCTTACCGTCGGAGACGGATATCCGTGGGATAAGGCGAGGTGTGCATTTTTAGGGTCGACCTTTTCTAACCCCTCCCCTCCTTTTGGGAAGGCAGCATCGCTGTTATGCTGGTTGTCTGAAGGAAACACCTTACTGCTGTCACACTTCTGTACAGTCAGCAGTACGACTTCGCCTTCGGACCTTGGTTTTGTTGCTTTTAGTCTTACCGCTCTTCAACCGACCTGTCTGGCATGGTAGGACCTTGAGGAACGGTTGTTCCAGCCAGTGTAGCTCGGTTGCTTCATCACGATAGGCAAGCCCGACCACCACGTCAAGGTAGCAACAACGGTCAGGAAACCTCGCTATTACTTACCCAGTGATCTCAGCAGATGCGAGCAATATTTCTGGGGCATCTGTGGTCAAATACTAGTAGCTTACAAATATCTTCTACTCTTAATGGCCATGTTTCGCAACCGTATAGTAGAACGGAACGAACTGCCACGCAGTATACTCGTCCCTTAATTAATAGACGGATATCTCGCCTTCACCATAGGTGACGTACGTTGGCAAAAGCCAAACGAGCTTTCCGAATCCGTGCTGAAATTTCGTCAGACACCAACCCATTAGGGCTGATCACACTTCCAAGATTAGTGAAGTTGTCAACGCGTTCGACTACTTCACCCCCTATCCTTAGTTCAGGTGTTGACGCAGACCAGTCCTGAGGCAACAACTTGCATTTGGAGGGAGAGAAGCGCATCCCAAACATTCTGGCATTAGTGCTCATGCTTCCAAAAGACTGCATTTCATCAGCGTCTTCACCAAACAGGACTATCTTATCTGCGTATTCTAAGTCGATAAGTGGACCTCCTGGAAGGAGCTCAATGCACGAGAATTCAGTCGATGAGAGCGTTATTTCCAGTAGGAGTTCTATGAAGTTGAGCAAAAATGGGGAAAGTGAACAGTCTTGATGGGCACCACTTGAGGTTGTAAAATCAGATGACAGTTCGCCATAAGTTCTGACTCGACTAGCAGTGTTCAAGTAAAGAGCCTTCACAAAGTCGAGAAAGACTACCATTGTCAGACGCCGATAAGTGTGCCTATGTTCTAGAACCTGACGAATGGTGAATATGTGGTCGATACAGCCACAACCAGGTCTAAAGTCAACCTGATTTTCTCGTAACACACTTGAAGGGATTAAGATAATGGAGAGAAATCAAGAGCAGAACAACAAATGGATAAAATGCAAAACTTGGCAGGGGTCAATCTAAGAAGTGGGAGATAAACGAAATGACCAGGTGAATGATTATTTAAACAGATGCATGAAAGCAGAATAAAGAATCAAGAACAAGATGTTGATATGGTGGAAATTTACGGAAAGATGAGAAGCAAATACATTTAAACGAATGAAACCGATTTAGCCTGATTCTAACCATTGATTTAGGCTTTTTATGTTGATAGCTCGGAATAACTTCTTACAAGTACTTCCGATTAAAGACTATAAAAGTGTGATAACTTTTCTGTAAGTACTATTTACTACGTCAGTCATGCATATGACTTGAGGTGCCTATACAACGGCTTAAATTCCAAAACCTCATGTCAACACAGCGAGGGAATTCAAAAGAGAGAAATAAGTGATAAACATAACAAAACACAACTTAAGTGGAATAAATAAAGCAAAGAAATAAAGAACTAGGTGTAACAACTAATTTAATAGGTAGGTGAAGATGGAGAACAAATCTAACCAAACCACTTTAAGCCATGTCAGCCGACGTCTACAACCACTTACTATGACTATTGGGTAAGACGAAATCATGAAATTCACAACTGTCAGGATAGCACAGATCACCAGTAAATAGATTCAGGGACTGGTGCTATGTCTTTATCGACCCTCTCCAGGCTTTCTTGCATACTGGACTGCGAGGTAAGTAGAAGCTAAGCATTGGTAGTACATAGCTTAATCATATCAACTGATGTAAATTGATGACCTAAATAACTGGTGTACCCTAACTCTACGTCTAAATCCAATATCACTTATTCTGTGATCCAACCATATAAGGGTAGTGATTTCCAGTACATTACAAACATTCATATGCTTTTATTTAAAAGATCCCTTGTCTACCGGAACTACGTCACCTTACGGGTCATACTCCCGTTTAGAGGATGACCCAGACTTCTTACAGGGTACTTAGGACCACAATTCCAGAGGTCTTTGGTCCAACTTATGAAGCTGCCATTTAATTATGATGCACAGAGTACTATGAAATGATTTTTATTCTTTAAAACTAAATCAGGACAACTAATAGGACATAGCAGGTGTCCTATTAAAGGATTAATTCCAGTCGAATGCAGGATTTCTCACAAAACTAATAGTTTTGGGTTCAACTACCAAAAAAGGAAGACACAGCTGTGTCTTCAAAATAGAGAAAGCGTTGTAATTTTTAGCTGTTTTTCGGTTTGGATCTAGCATGAAGCTATCCTATGCGCCATGGTGTGTGAGGAGCTACGTGTAAATTTTTTTAAGAAACAATTGTTTAATGGGTCGTAGACGTATTTTTTCTCTTAAGAGAAAAAATACGTCTACGACCCATTAAATACATAGAACGTAAGCTGTTAAAGCGTAGGAAACACTTCTGGGACTTATTCTTGTTGACAGGTCATGCATCTTTTAAGCGTGAGTACCAAAAACTCCGGAATATTTGTAAGAAAACTATAGCTAAATCCCGTATTACTTACGAACGACAGTTGGTATACGATAGCCGTACTTGTCCAAAACGATTGTTTTCGTATGTTAAACGGCAAATAAAACGTAGTGATAGTATTCCCCCATTATTGTTACACGATAATTCAGGTTTACTAGCTGAATCAGATCGAGCAAAAGCTGAGACATTTTCAAACTACTTTAGCGAAGTCTACTCTACGTTTATTGTAACAAATACTTGTCCCAGTTACGCCGCGATACCAGCCATGGAATCCATACAGGTGACTGAAGAAACTGTCCTTTCGTTGATAATTAACCTCAAACCTTGTAAGATACCGGGTTCTGACGGGTTACATCCACGATTGCTGTCATCTCTTGCAGACATTATTTCAAAACCGCTCGCGACACTCTTTAACATGTCCCTTTCACTCGCTCAACTACCTAGGGATTGGAAAGATGCTATTGTCAGTCCTATATTTAAGGATGGTCAGAGACACATCGTATCTAACTACCGACCTGTCAGTCTGACTAGCATTGTCGTTAAGTTACTTGAAAAGATAATTCGGGTTAGGTTGCTAAGCCACATAGATTCATACAATCTGTTAGCTCCTGAGCAACATGGATTTCGTGATAGGCGTTCATGCTTGACTAATTTACTTATTGCGAGAGAGGATTGGACAGCAGCCTTAGATAAAGGTCTGTCTGTCGATGTTATATTCATAGATTTTAGCAAAGCATTTGACAAGGTTTCACACTCAGGTCTTATGCAGAAGCTCACAAGCTTCGGAATAATAGGTACTGTACAGGAGTGGATAGGAAACTTCTTACGTGACCGCAGACAGAGAGTGAGGGTCAATGGGACGCTATCCGATTGGAAGCCGGTCAAAAGTGGTGTACCCCAAGGCACCATATTAGGCCCTCTGCTATTCCTTCTCTACGTAAATGAATTACCGCTGTTGCTTAGGTCGTCGACATTATTATTTGCGGATGATGTCAAAATATGGAGAGCAATAAGAGGTGAGGCTGATCATCTGGATCTTCAATCTGACTTAGACGATTTAGTTAGATGGGCTCGAGATTGGGGTTTAGAAATCAATTCTAGGAAGAGTGTGCTAATGCACATCGGTCACGGCAATAATTACCATTATACTATTGATGGCAAACCTCTTCCATGCGTTCAAGAACATAAAGACTTAGGAGTAATAATAAGTCATGATTTAAAAACAACTGCGCACTGCAACGCAGCCGCTGTCAAAGGTTTTCGTGCGTTGTGGTCACTTCGCCGAGCGTTCAAATCCTTTGACGAGGAAATGTTTCGAATTTTATATCCCACCTATGTAAGACCACATTTAGAGTACTGTATTCAAGCAGCTAGCCCATGTCTGATAAAGGATACTACCTCACTTGAGCGTGTCCAGCGTGTGGGAACGAAATTAGTGAAGGGTCTTTCTAAACTCCCTTACGATGAGCGTTTAAAACGCTTAAACCTTTTCCCCTTGTCGTATCGTAGGACTCGAGGTGACCTTATACTGGCATTTCGTATCTTTAATTATGATTTGGGTGTTAATATGTCTTATCTTTTTGCTCCCTCCAGCACTAATAATCTCCGAGGTCATAGCAAGAAGGTTCACAAACCACGATCTATTAAACTCAAGGTGGGGTTCCGTTTTTCTCATCGAGTAGTCAATGATTGGAACGCTTTGCCCGATCAAGTGGTATCAGCCCCATCAGTGAATATTTTCAAAGAGAAACTGGACCTTCACTGGAAGCCAACCTGTTAGGATTAACACAGGTTCACTAACCTACTATCCTTATTACTGAAGACTGAAGACTGAACGCACTTTCATTTAATAATGAAAACAACCTAAAACTATAAGCGACGGCACAAGAATATATCCTTATATATATATATATATATATATATATATATATATATATATATATATATATATATGTTAAAGCATTCTGACTATAAGTAGAGTAAGCTTTCGAATAAGGTCTAGAGTTCACTGTTCATCCTTGAGAGTAAGTTCAATGTTAACCTGACTTGGATTTGATTGGTTGTCCCAAAAATATTTGAAGAACAGTGGGCTTCAAAAATACGAGTAGTAGGTCAGCATTTCTTCGTAATATTCGCAGTAAGTTTGTACGTGACATCGTGGTCGCTAGCTTAAGACGTTCACTGAGCTGGTATTGCTTGTTAGGGTAAGGTGGACATAAGTAACTTATGTATATCCAACCAATAAAGCTTAGATACAAATCTTAGCAACATTGTCAACGAATATTCGTTGCTGTAAAGTAAAAATATCTTGGATCATATTTCTCCGGATTCCACTTTTCCTAAGTCTCTATCCATATAGCATCAAATTCACTATTGCTTCATGCAATTCAGCCTTTTAAAAAAGGCTGGTTATCACAGCAGTGATTATCTTGTGTATTTCATCAACTTTCTTTCCTTTACATTATTTTAAAATGGTTGAATCTGCTCTCAAATGTGAACAGCCAAATTGCTTATTCACTGTGGAAGAAGGGACTCAATATAATGAGTGCGAAATTTGGCTCCGTAAGTTGTGCACTCGTTAAAATCCACCGAATATAAAATGTGCTCAAAGCATACCTTCCATTGGCTTTGTATGCTTTATTGTTCTAGTAAAGCATTACTCGTCCAAGAGACCAGTAGCCTTCTGACGTTGGCCAGCATATGGGTACCGACAGAGAGTAAATGAGACACTATCTGGATGGAAGCCGATCAAAAGTAGTGTACCCCAAGGTCTCCTACTTTTCCTTTTCCACGTCAATCAATTACCACGATCGCTTAGTTCATCGACATTAACTGAGGACGATGTCGAGATCTGGAGAACGACAAGAAGTGAGGCTTATCACTTGACCTCCAAGCTGATCTAAACAAACTAGTTAGATGGTCCCAAATTTGGGGGTCAGGAATTAATTTCAGTAAGAGTGGGCTCATGCACTTCGGGCATGGTAATAGTATGCTATTAACCATAGATTGCTTCCATGTGTACAGGAACACAAAAACTTAAGGGCAATAGTAAGTCGCGACTTCAAAACAACTACGTATTGCAACGCAGCAGCTTCCAATGGTTTTCGTGCGTTATGGTTACTTCGTCGAGCATTCAAATGCTTTGACGAGATGTCCCGGATTTTATATACCACCTATATCGGTCCACACGTAGAGTACCGTATCTAAGATGCCGGTCCATGTCTTACTAAGGATACTAACTCACTTGAGTGTGTTCAGCGTATAGGAAAAAAATTTAGTGAAGGGTCTTTCCAAACTCCCTTACGACAAGCGCTTAAAACGCCTGAACCTTTTTCCCTTATCGTATCGTAGAACTCGCGACGACTTTATACTGGCATTTTGTATATTTAATTACAATTTGGGTGTTAATGTCTCATCTTTTTGCTCACTCCAGCACTAATAATCTTCGAGGCCATAACAAGAAGGTTCAAAAACTACGGTCTAATAAACTCAGTGAGGTTTCGTTTTTCTCATCTAGTTGTCAATGGCAGGAACGTCTTACCCTAACAACTGGTATCAGCCCCATCACTGACCATTATAAAAGAAGCTGGACCTTCACTGGAAAACAAACTGTAAGGACTAACACATGTCCATCAACCTAGTGTCCCCATTACTGAAGATACCATGTCTATCATCCAAGAGTTTATGTGTCCTATATGCAAAGCATTTCCTTTACTCAAATAAATTTATATTACGTTAAAAAGTAGATTCCTGTTTTGAATTGTTACTCACTCCTCTCTATCAGTGAAAGGTGGTCATCTCGAAAAATTGTGTTGCTATTTGGAACTTCTTTCAGTGGCCTCGGAGATGATCATTTCTATAAGTGCAAAAGCATGAGACACATTAACACTCAAACCAAACAGATGCCAATATCCAATTTTTCACAAGCTTGTATAAACCGACTGATTTATTTGCGCTCGCTTCTTGTTGTTTCGGTACGGTCCCAGTTATCTAATAATGTACGAAGGGTGGTAGTCTTTTCACTCAACTGCACTCATTCTAGTAAGTTTGGTAGTTATTTGTGTGTCTTGTAGTTTGATTGATTACGTTTGTTTGAGGGCAGTAGGGTTTCTGGATACCAGTAGCTTTCACATTATCAGACAATAGATTGGTTAGTTGAAATGTGAAAAACAACACAGTAGAGATTTGAGTGCCAAGATGAGATGATTGTCTCGGGAAATAAATAGGTGATTTAATTAGTTGCTAATGTGTTGGAAGATGGAATTGAAAGAATCCCTCACTTCACTGCCCGTCTCTGCACTTGGTGTGAGAGATTTATGTCTCTTGGGAAGAGAGGAGACGCAACGACACTGTGGACATCAAGGTGGGGCCGTGCGTATATTTTAAACAGTACTAGGAACAACTGTGAGATGATTGTACCAAGTCGTTTTCTCACAAGGTGGAAAGTTGCGTTTGCCTTGTGTGTATCTCTTATGTATTTTGAGCTGACGTCCAAGTTCTTTGTGGTTACTAGCCCGAGGTCGCTCTCTGAGGAGATAATAGGTAGACGATTACCATAGAGTGACATGTCCGTGAATTCCATCCTTCTATAATTATCCTACCGTATATGTGTGTGAGGAAGTGTACATGAATAGAATTCACCTTTAGTGAATTTAACTTTAAACTAGTAGCTTTTATGACATAAACTGCTTTAGGAATGAGTAGAACACAGTCTACCACTTATATCTGCTCTGTTAACACTGATCAGTCATGTCTCTCTCCTAGTTATTATGTAAGGAGTGCGATTTCTTTGTAAATTAGTTAGTGTTATGCAAAATGGTTGATGAAACATAGATATGTAACACCTGATATTTGTAAATATAATATACGCATTAGAGGATACCCCATATAGATTTCTCATAAAGCTTCTCCAAAGGAACCATGTGTCCACTGCCAAGTTGGTTCAAAAAGAGTCCTTTGAGTTTTGTCGCGAGATCGTTACTGGTAAAGCTCAACCATGTTGGCAGTGAACCACTCTTAATAGGTGCCAATGGATGAGTCGTTCAGTATCTCATTAGCTAGAATCGAGAATGTGACCACTAGATATGACCTGGTAGTTTTTGAGAGACTAGACGGTTTTAAACCCTACCAATCCCGAGGTCGTGGATGCCTATCGTGATGAACCAGTCGATCTCTACTGGCTGAAACAGTCGTTCCTCAAGGTCCAACCATGCCAGACAGGTTGGTTGAAGAGCGGTGAGACTAAAGGCGGCAAACCCAAGGTCCGAAGGGAAAATCGTGCTTCTGACTGTTTATTTATTTGAACACATAGATATTGGTACAAGGAGGCACCAAATACTTATGCGCACAAATCTCATTTGATTTGTGCGAGGGCTGTGATACTGCCCGGGTGCCCAAACCGAAGCAAGCTTCTGACTGTACAGAGGTGTGGCGGCAGTAAGGTGTTTCTTTCAGACAACCAGCATAACATCGATCTTGCCTTCCTACAAGGAGGGTTGGGGCTAGAAAAGGTCGACCCTAAAAATGCACATCTCGCTTTACCCCACGGATATCCGTCTCCGGCGGTAGGGTTTCAATAATTATGGAGCTAACACGAAAATTACCCACAAAAAGGTCGTGTGTGACTGACCCCAAGCAATTGTCCCTTGGGCATTGCGGTCACGCTCTCAGATCACTAAGACCACTCCTAATCCAATTTCCTTTTCAAGTAACTCCAGAAGAACCCTTTCACGACGCGGACAACCAGAAAGTGATAAATGCCCTCATACCTCAAACAGTACTCAAAATCACTGCATTGATTGCGATTGTCACGTGGATCACAACCAGACCGTCTACACGAATTCCCATTTATTAGCTCAAGTATCGGTGGCTTCATGGACTAATATCATCTCTTGGTTTGGTTCTTATCGATTTTCTTCCAGCTTACTTTTGCACTAGGTAATCGGTGGTTAGGACTATGTAGTACTTATCCCCGCCACCTCAGTCTGTCTACCATCTTTTCCCAGGAGCCTGCCGGACCCCAATATTATTCACTTGATGCTCATAACATACACGAGTAACACTTCGAAGGCATCTATGATCAAACAACCTAACTTATGAATATCCTCTATTTGTAATGGATATGTTTCATGGCCACGAAGTAAAACAGAACGAACTGTGTTATACACTGTTTTGTTAGTTGACAGATGGATATATTGCCTAATTTATAGGAGATGCAAGTTGGTAAGGGCAAGTAAACTTAGATCCGTACTTAATTTCGGTCAAACACCAACTAGGACTGACGGGACTCCTGTGATAAATGAAATTCTCGATGTGCTCAACGTTGCTACACTTGTTTACATGATTTTAAGGTCTGGGAACTAGAGAGTGTACTGACATCATGGAATGAGTCGATAGTTCTCCCTGTCTTTAAAAAGGGTTCACATCGTTTCTGTAACAACTATCGGGGGATATATCTACTTCCGTTTGCGTCCAAGCTGTTGGCTTCCGTCATACTTCGTAGATTGTTCAAAACCCGAGGAAGATTGACTCGCGAGGAGCAGGCTGGTTTTCGTTCTGATCGAGGATGTATTGATCATATCTTCACCCTCCGCCAAATGTTAGAACACCGTCATACTTATCAAAGGCCAACAATCGTAGTGTTTCTTGACATCAGGGCTGCCTTCGATTCGTTGGATAGGTCTGTTCTCTGGGATTGTCTATTGAAGAAGGGTGTGTCTGAGAAGTTTGTTAACATCCTAAAAGCCCTATATACAAACACCTACGGCAGAGTGAGGGCATACAACCACCTCTCTCCATTGTTCCATTCAAGCAGTGGGGTTAGCCAGGGTTGTCCAATCTCACCATTCCTCTTCAACTTTGCCATCGATGACATTCTGGAAACAGCTCTGATGGATGTAAGTAACGGTGGTGTAGATCTGTTGCCTGGAGAAAGACTTCTTGAGTATGCGGATGATGTTGTCTTACTGTGCGATAATGCCCAAGTCATGCAATCCGCACTTAATCAGTTGGCAATCAGTGTCCGTAGGTATGGTATGTGCTTTGCACCTTCGAAGTGCTAAGTACTTCTACAAGACTGGCAGGATTCTAATCCTGTATTCACTCTGGATGGTGAGCAGATCGAAGTAGTCGAGAAGTTCGTGTATCTAGGTAGCTGCATATGTGCTGGTGGTGGCGTGAGTGATGAGATCAATGCACGTATAATGAAAGCCAGAGCGGCTTATGCCAGTCTGGGCCATCTTTGGCGCCTTCGTGATGTCAGTCTGGCTGTAAAATGTCGGACCTACAACGCGTCGGTGAGAGCAGTTTTGCTCTATGCTTGTGAAACCTGGCTTCTCCGAGTTGTGGATGTTAGACGACTCTCTGTGTTCGATCATTGTTGTCTCCGAAGGATTGCTAACATCCAGTGGCAACACCATGTTAGTAATGCAAAGGTTCGGCATCGTGTGTTCGGGCACAGAGATGATAATTCCATTGGTGTCACTATCTTGAATCATCGACTTCAGTGGCTTGGACATGTTCTACGAATGTCGTCCCAGAGAATTCCACGTCGTGCATTATTTGCCGACGCTGGGACTGGTTGGAAAAAGCAGAGGTGGTCAGTGTATGACATAGTGTCGTGGTATAAAGGAAAGCTGTACATGACTGGCTTCTGCTGGTCCTTCATGACTCCCTGGTTGGGGTCCTAGAGATGGTGTAACACAGTGGCTAGAGACGTTATCAGATATGGCTTAGAATAGAAGCCAGTGGCGATCCTGCTGTAACCTTCTTTCACTTCACAAAAGGTGGTTGCTTCTTCCTTAACTAAAAGGTTTCTTCTGATTGTACCTTTCCGTTCCCCCCATTATTATTATTATTATCACTACATTACCTTACACTAATCTGTTCGTTATTGTTCTTTTTTTACGCTCCTTACCTTTTTTCCTCTTCCCATTCTCATTGTTTTGTGTGGCGCATATATATTTGGTGTCCTCTTGTACCAATATTCATGTGTTCAAATAAATAAATAAAAATAAAGATGATTTTGCTTTGGAACTGTGCACAAATTGAAGTCATGGTTTAGTATTTTGACTATATTGTCTGGACTGAGCATAATTGGTTTAAAACCATCACGGATTTCGAACAAAAACTCAAGTTTAAACTATTTGGTTTTGCATCTAATATCAAATGATTTCTGCAAATGTTTGTTGTATTAACTGTTCTTATAGCTCCTGATGAAGCGTAAGCTATCTGATGATAGTGTTACCAGCCCCCAAAAAGTTATGAAGGTATCCAGTATACCTGAAATGAGTTAGTAAACCTGTTTTATTAGTAAATATTCTTATTTTAGAAACAGTATGTGATGCTCTTGAATATCTGTTTAGTCTATATCCTTCTATGAACTCAAAAAATCTTGGCCGCCCAATCGTTTTGAAGTCACAGTTATACACTCTTGTAAATAATCGGAACAAAGTAGAGTCGCAGCTGGTTTGTCGTATTTTAGTCATTTCTAACGCTCACTGTTTTAGTCAGATATGCAGACATCTCAGAGAATACGTTTATTACACATAGACGACCAAATTGACGATTCCGTTGGTATAATGAGATCTGATGATTTTGTAAATTCTTTCAGAGATTTTTCTATTGATGAGTCAAAGATTTTAGGTTTAGTTATAATTATATTATTCCTAAGTTTTCAGAACGATTTGCGGAATTCACTAGTCAAAAGTATCATTATTTAAGCTTGTGTAAACGTGTTGCATCGGAGAATTTTTCGGATAATGAGATAAGCATTTTAATACAAAATGGAGCTTTAACCATCAAATCCGAGAACAGTTGGTACATTTCCACTCCATATCTTGGTGCATTTATTCGTGCCTACAAAGCTGGTCAACGGGGTTTATTAACAATAATTAAGAAAACGCGATTCAAAGAATTATTGCTATCTGTGAGTTCATTTTGCATATAAATGCTCTTCTAGTTAGTAAAATCGACAGCTAATTCTTAAAGTTAATTGTGTTTTTATGTATTCACTGAAACGAAAGTTTAGTATTTTAAGCAGTGTTTATGTGTACATTGTTTATCTAATTGAAAGAAGTTAAACATAATTAAAAGTTAATGAAGCCAAATTGTTTTTGCAAAATATTATTTGAATTAGATGAATGCTTGTTTTGGCTGTAAGCGATTATTATTATACACTAGTTCGACTTATTACACTTTAGAGTTTAGGCATTCAACTTTTAACATGCGATTTGAACATGGTTTCATCTAGTTTCATTTGAGTATTTGGATAACGTTCCTTCCTCTTATATTAAAGTATTGCTTAAAATCTATTATTAAAATCAAAAATATTTACCATGAAGCTCAAGAGGGTTAAGCAAATAGAAATGATTACTGACCAGGGGCTAGCGGAAAAATTCTATTTCTAAGGGTGAGAAAACAATAAGTTAAAGTACTTCATAGACATCAGGAGTCCGATCAACACTTTTAATGGTCGCTATTGGTGTTTTTGGAGATGTGGGGTAATATAAGTCACTAAAACATGCAAAACCTAGAAATACTTGTTGCAAAAGGTGGGACACACTTATGTACAAAATAATGTCTGAATGTTTTAAGTCTAAATATCCGTTGTACTGCACACGATATATCGTTACCGTTGACTGCACGAATGTTCTAAATACTTGTAAAAGCTGTTGAATTTATACAATATGAATTCATATGAATTGTAAAGCCACGTGCTCTTGGAACAACTGTTTCTTAGTCTTTCCACATATTATCTAAACAAAATACCAGTTTTATCTTAAAAAACTTGTTAATACTAATCATTAGACTAACGAAATTGATCGTGTTAACGTACTATAAAATTGTGTTTAGTGGATGATGAGTTCACTATTTCTAAATATGACACATTTATGAACATACAACAACAAAAAGATTTTCATGAAAATATTGTAGATGTTCAAAGGTGAAAGATAAAGCAACACCTGTAATTTAGCAACTTTCTGGTCAAGGTACGTATGCATAGTATATTTGTCGCGGTATGTGTCAAAACAATCTACAGTTTATAGTGGTGAGACAAAGTTATAACCTGTTTTACATACAGGGAGATTTAGTAAATGAATATGATGAAATGTCCGAGATGATTCTTAAGACACGATATAGTTTCTAACTCGAAATTGAACTAAAAAGGAAAAGACTAGTAAAAAGCAATATTCCGAGCTGACTTATGTACTCTTCTTTATTCAACCAGCATGTCGTAATGATTTAATACATAAAATATAGATATCAACTAATCCAACAGATAAAAGTTCATACTCGGACTTTCTTTTACTCAAAGTCCCTTACGTCAGTGTCACTTGATTACTTTTTCGATATCACAAAAAACCAATGGTAAAATACGTACAACTTTTCACTTTATGTACCTTTAACACATTTATTTTACTAGCGTATTGTAGGATTAAACTTATTGTTGCATAATGGCTAAGTAATAATCAAAACATTTAACTTTCTACTACATGATGATATTTAAAACCTCGTTCTACTCTACCTACTTTGGCTTGTGGTCGAGTAGTTTTATTAACTTTTATAATAAATCTGTAGCTCGAGGCAAAATTTGCCCCCGAATGCCCTGGTACGACCGAGAGTGGGGAGAGTCCGCTCTCCCTCTCGAAATGCTCTCACATGGCCACGCGTATATAGCCTCTTCCAGGGAAATCCTACTCACTGCCGTCTCGTGGCGTGGGTGTTGTTTACGAAATTGAGAGGACGGAAAGCGTATTTCCGGCGCTTTAACCGCATCCAAAACCAATGGTGCACATGGGCTCCAGTATCCTATGGGAACAAATGGCGTATGAACCAATCGTTGGTCACCGGCTACCATGGGACTGCATCTACTCACGATGCTCCACTGCCTTGTGGGTCAGACGTTCAGGTCGAAGGCTCGGGGTATGGCCCCCTAAGAAAACCATCTGCTTCGGTTTCGGCACCCGGGCAGTATCACAGCCCTCATACAAGTCAATTGAGATTCGTGTGGCACATATGTATTTGGTGCCTCCTTGTACCAATACCTATGTGTTAAAATAAATAAATAAATAACGAGGCAAAATTCACAAAGTCGTACAAGGTCAGTGAACCACATTTTTACCGATTTTTTTGTTATCCTATTGCTATATGTAGTCAAATCGTAATAGGCATTTGAATATTTCTCTGGTTAGACAGTTCAATTCAGTCGTAAGAAATGTAGGACCAGGAACAGACTTGGTCAGTTCAAGTTGCTACACCTTATTAGCTCAGAGAGATTGTTAAGAGAAATCCAAGAGTAGGAGAAGTAGTTTCAACATCAGTTGTTGTAGTAGAAACGATTAGACATAAAAATTTATATATATATATATATATATATATATATATATATATATATATATATATAAACTCTCAAGATCTAAAAGAATACGAAGAGTGAATGTATCTGCGCTATTACAACTGATACTAAACCATACACCTAACGTCTCCAACCATTGATTATAATAACCGCCCGGATACCAAAAGGATATTCTGAACCTACCTACTAGGTTCACTGTAAATGTTAATGACTCCAGAAATGACGTAAGTTGGCAATTAGATAAATATGTTAGGACCAGACATCTTTAATGAATATTCTTCGTTATTAAAACTTACACTTGAGTGTCTTTTCAGTTGGATAGGACTCGATAAATTGTGTGATTTTCGGTGTTTGTTAATGAAAAGTCTTGTATGTATACAAAGACCACATTACTTTCTCATTTTCAAATTTCTTCATTTGAGAGGTCACCTTCATTTAATATACTTGTTTGCCATCCCATTTATGCTTAAACCAGTATATATATAGTTGCCTTGTTTATGGTTGAGGTTTTTCTTATGGATAAAAGTGGAAAACTAACGTCTAAAGTTTTCTTCCCATAACTGCCGTTCATCGTAAAGTGAGCATATAGTTTTCTTCCAATGAAAAAACTAAAATTTCAACCTACGGATGCACTTAGTAAAAGAGATCACATTAATTATCATAATAAACCTGAAAAAAAAACAGTTCATTGGGTGTAGTTTTAAGGTTATTCATTGACAGTTACTCCAACCAGGTGCGTGGCATCCAAAAAGTAACGACACAATATCCATAACTAATAATTTCAACTGGTGAAATCTGTTATCTGAAAGTCCATTCACTGGTTTCTTCCGACGATATTTAAAAGTCATTTATTTATTTTGCCAAGTTGCCTCAAATTTTTTTATTGAATTACACGCAACTGCGCTAGTTACATAGAGACATTAAAAACGTATGCATCAGTAAAATTGAAGAAATTACTCTTCTAGAAGTAGTTCGTATTTCGAATTAACTACGCCAACGACACTCACTCTGAAAACTCTTATTAAACCTATACTTTTGACTATAAACGCACAAAGTAACAAAAATTTAGCTACATTCGATAACATAGTCGATGGAACATCTCTACTCATATTAAATTGTTAGCAGTTTGTCGTAGTTGATTCCTCAAACGGTTTTTGTCTAGCTGGTAGTCGATACCATATATCTTTTTGCAAGGCAGTTTTTGAAAGTAATGTTTTTTATCTTAAAAGATGAGTATTTCTCATCGCTAAAGACTACATCTGTTGACAATTCATTTAGATTGAATATCAAGTACCAATTGTGTTCAAAAAGGATACTTGTGACGCAAACTAATTTTCCCATTACTTTCATCGATGCTTCAATATACTAAATTATTGCGCACTATATATCTAATGCTTATTTCATACATTTTTCTTTAGGAGATTTTCCATCGAAACCTGGGTAAAGGTGCTTATCTAGGTCATATGTATCACATACTCGCTCATTTAGGAGCTGGAACTTTGAATTCGTAAGTCTGTGGTCTTCCTATTTACTTGTACACAAATCGGTATGTTCAATCAAATGTTATGGACGTTTTGCTTCCTGATAAGGATTCATACCCACAAAATCGATAAATAAGACAATTCAACTCATTATGGAAATGACAATACCAGATGTAACATTGTCTCTGACTAGCTCTTTTATCGGAATCTACTGGTACTAATGTGTGATATTGGGGTAGTTAAGAAGTAATCATTTTAAACGTCAACAACTATTACTATTAGATGAATAGTTGTTCATGAACTTCAAGTTATCGCGCTTACACTCAGTTCTTAGACTGTAACCCTATAAAAGTTAACATTTTTCATGAAATGGATTCACTCACACGATCAATGTTTCTATTTTCATATTTGAATCAGTCCCTATATATTGGATGGAACGCGATGTCCGTTATTTTTATGAGTCAAACAAGTGAAACTAGTGGTTTCATGTAAGATTGAAATATTAGATTACTTCCCTGCCTATTATGACTCAGTGGTTTAAGTGCTGGTGTCTCATCTATCCAGCTACAAGTCTTTTACTTAGTAGGATGTGCCAACCAGTCACTGGAAAACAGGGTGGACTGAATAGCTGCTTTCTCTGCATATAGGATTTCTCAACGGTGGGTACCCTCAAGCCCATTTAAGACTGAATTTAGGACGTTCAAACCTAGCAGCAAACGCCTAATCTTCAAACCACTAAGTCAGCATCCAGTCGTTGTTGTAGATAAACTTTCTGCATTCAGTTGGATGTACTATGATGTATTTACCAATCTGGACGGAGGAAGTTTAACTACTTTCATTCAGTAATAACGTTGTTTAATTCACAAAAGCGTTTTGAACATATTATCATGGGGAAACTGTATTATTTTAGAAATACTCAGATGTCGATTTCACGAATATTGTTGTGTAGTATGCTTTCACAAACATATACTTTTTATCATACCAGCAATCTGTTTTTGCTTCTATTAATCTTCACTTTTTACAGGGTTCAAACTAGCTCTGGTTTGCTTATCAGACTGTAACGATTCAAGACAAAATGATTAAATTTATACGACAGATTCGACTGGTTCTACTTTGACAAATTTTTTGGGAATTAACTTCACTGTTTCGGTTTCCATTTTTGGTATAATATAAAAAATGTTATTTTCTATATTTGTGTTGGTGTAAAAGTAAATCCATTTTATATTGTAATTAGCTCTTGCTTAAGATGCACATAGTAAACCAAACGCAGTAAACTTTCGAGTAGTTATTTAAAGATCTTGTAAGAAACGGTGAACTATCGGGATGAATTAAACACATTAACTAAAAATGTCCGATTGTTTTAGCGATGCAATTGCCTTCATTTTAGCTATATGTAGGTTTTATTTATCACCTATTTTATGTTTTAACTACTATCTTTGTCTAGTTATTATTAAGATCAGCGTCCTTCTGAATGTTTTTTTCAGACCCTAAGATTAGAATAAAGTAACTGCACAATTTAAATAAATGTCTTTAGTATTCATATAGATTTAAAGATCTCAACAAACAGGCTGCACTCCTACTGAAATAGAGGATAAGTCAAAACTACTTGGTGAGAAATTTCCAGTCAATTTCATCTAGCCGAAGTTTTGTACAATAACGTTAACTCCAATTGAGTCTGCGATTGCGCATTGGCCTCAGCTAAACGAATCAATAGTCAAATAGATGTAGTGGGTTGGTGGAGCTAGATATAATCATTTCTATCCAACTTGATATCTCGAAAGGCTAAGAATATCGTTAGTGAGACCTCAGTGCTAGTCATCTTAATAGGACCACCTGTACCATGTAGTCGCAAGGTCTGTTTGAGTTCTGCAGCAATTTGCACACCAATTGTGTGGACAATTATAAACTGCATGGTGATGGAAAATTGTTCAACGTAAACTGAAACCACCAAGCCAAATAATATGATCAAATTCAGAATACTAATTTTGGACGATGGGGGTTTGTGTAATGTTTCCAAGTGTTGAAGCAAGGTCCAATTTCCCACCACAAATTTTAGACAGATGTAAGAACATTTCTTTATAACAATAATATCTTCACTAGCGAACTAAGTATTGTCCTTTACAAGGAATCAGGCAAAAAGTATGATATCATAATGACCTGTTTTTTTAGATTTTTCACAGCAGGTTGTACTTAAGCGAAGTGACAAAACTAGAGATCAGTATATCTTCTTATCATAAGAACTTGTGGTTTTTCTGCCGTAACACCTGAATTTTTTTCTAACTTTTGGGCATACTTTCATAATTTAATCAGTTTATGGCTAGTGAGTCATTTTTACGTTCCCAATAGCCATGTTCTCCTTATAAGCAGCTACGACCTTCGACACATGCACCTCTTTTGTTCATATCCTTGTCAGTTATATACTTATGTCTCTTAAGTGTAGGTATTTATATAATTATTATCTAACCCGATATCGATCTTTTTTCTCGGATTATTCATTATTACGACTTAAATTAACGCTTGTAATAAGTAATATTTTGAGTAGACGGGTTTTGCCTTGCGTCTCATTTATGGCTGAGTGAAATACATGCATCCAAAAACTCGCATTTTACTTATGTTATTCATTGACGCAGTTAATACGATAAATATATACAAATTAAACCAAGTAGGTTTATTTGATCATTTCTCGTCTGTATCAATAGTACTCAACCACATGTCACTAAAAAGAACCTCGATCTGACTTATCCCTAAAAGATTAGGATAAAAACAATCGCTTGAACAATGAGGTTTTGTCGTACAGAGAGAACATAAACACTCATCACTAATTCACTTGATATTGTTTTACTTGAATCTTTCCATTGATGTTTAAGACTGAAATTGATCAGTCTCTTATTGGTATATGTGCATACTGTGCGTATTGCCTTAATTTACAAGCATTATAAGCAAAGATGGACAAAACGCGCGTCCTGGATTCCACTGCTAGTCACTATCCATCTTATCACTAATGTTTGTTAAGAAGATATTTGAATGCAACTAATTCAAGTTTTAGGTTATTTCGCAATGTGTCCTGACGGAGAAGTTACACAACAATTGAAAGTATACAAAATTACTATGATTGTGAAAAGGACATTGAGCTAGAATCGACATTTAAGAAAGTTCTTTTACCGTTAGGATATAATGAAATTGTTTGGGGGTGAGAACGACGCCTATTTTCTGACATTTTTAAGGTGATTACCGAGTTAACATACATTTATCACTGTGAAATCGGGAAATACTTAGTCTTCTTATATAGCCCTATCTGATGAAAACTATGCTAGCAACATAATGTACAGGAGTAGGTGAAATCAGATCGTTCACTGCTTGCTGTGTGTGATCTCATTAAGGATGTGATCTGGTACATAGAGCATATTACATTTTATTATTTAACACGAGATAAAGTCGTTTTTGTCACACACCATTTTATTGAGACGAGGTGATAAATCACGTAGAAACAATTATCATGAAAGAAAATAAATAAGACGACAAACAATAAAAGTAAGTGGATTATTCGGTTGGACAATTTCTTGATTGTGCAAAAATATAGACAAATATGAAATCATTGTGTGAAAGACACTTAGCTTGTTTTATCTAGCAAGGAATATGTTGTAAGTCTCCGGATTATGTCCGGATTACCACTGTGCGATTATCAAATAGCGAATCAGATTGTGAGTATGTCTTTGCAATTAGGTTAGAATCTATTGTATTATCTTCCACAGATCCAATGCTCCCATAAGACCGGACTAGTGACATTTGCCCACGCGAAATCGAGGCTGTGCTAAGAATTCGTTGACATCTAACAGTAGGTTCAACACGTTTTGGCCTGTATACCAGTAGATGGACGGGATAACGACATACTGATTGAGCGAGACAATGAAAAACTACGAGGAATGTGACACAAACTATTAATGGTAAGAAGAAGCCAATATGACTAACTTCCTCCGTTCGGCACCGAAATAAGTTGTACCAAGCCCATTGTGTGCGATTTATGGCATTTTGTACGTCCAAACATACAGCGAAACGATGACCAGAGTGTTCTTTCATGAGTGAATTTTGATGCCCTCCTTCTAGAGAGCTATATCTTAGGAGATTATTAGTGTAGTAATCTAAGAGACTATAATACGCTGCTGAACAATTTCGACAAACCGTCGAACTGATATTTAAGGTGCTAGACGAAGGGAAATTTAATACATTGAGAATGGATATGTTGGGATTGTTGATGAACTGCATGAAACAACTCAAAGCATCATCAAGCTTTTCGAAGAATGTACGCACGTTTTTACTGTAGACTTGCAAGTTGTATAGAGAATCCGTGTATAGAAGACGTGTAGGCCGTTCTATGTTATTGAAAGAATCCGCTGGTATACTGATGTTTTGATCGGAATAAAATTCTTCAAGACAATGGGAGCAGAAGGAACGATTCCATTTATCGAAAATGAAGTCGATAGAATCTATTGTACCCTGAAAACCGAATAGTGATACCATAATAGTAAGAAATACGCAAACAAATTTATACGCACATATAACATGAGTTCCTGACATTTGTGCCTTTGAAGTAAAAGAAAGGTTATTCACATGGAAAATGCTTTAATATCTGTATAATTATCGCGCAATTGTCGTAGACTTGGTGGTTTAAAGCTATGTTTAAGAAAAATGTTACTGGGTTTGCTACCACCCTACTTTGACTACATTCAACCTTTAAGGTAGTAGGTAATTGTTAAACGTTGATTCATCACACCCAAAAAGGTACCGATTCAACTAGAGGTCGATGTCCTCCTTCTTTATGTTGGATTGACATGCCTTGTGTGCTGCTAACTAGATTGCATTGTGTATCATCAGCCAGTAACAATGCCGAAGTTCTTTTTTAGACGTTTTTAATAAATAACAATGTACTGTAGATACACTTGTGTTGTTGAAGGTGTATAGGCAATAGTTAATAAGCTCGTTATACATACACCTTAACGTGATATTTTTCGTGTGAAGCTTGAAAGACATACAAAATTCGTTTCAGTGATTTGTCAGTCGGGCTGAAATGAAAATTATTGGAGACCAGTCATCAATGACTTCTACGTCAGAAGACGCATGCCCCTAATCTTCATCACTAGAAAGCTATGAAGAAAAATATAGTGTTCTTTTTTAAAAACAATATCCTTGGAATTTTCTTTTCGGTAACGGAAATAAACGGTGGGACTACAATTTATGGACGACCTTGAGCAACCTATGGTGACCCATAGACGATCCACTTTGCCAGGGTCAAGAGATGGCATTTACGATTATGAACTAGTAGAGATTTTCATCACGAACTGACATTGCCTATAATCGCAAAATACCATTTTAATACATATATGAATGTTTTGTTTGCGTCTAAATTCAAGACTTGTTATCCTTAATTTCATTGGTTCTACCATAAATTATAGTTATGTCGCTTAATAGAATTCTATTAGTTTCCCAAAATGCCCAAAAGGATAGTCTTATTTAAAAAAAACAGACAAAATAACTACAGACGGAACCGTGATATAGGCTTTTCATATTGATGGCTTTACTGGGATTTCTGAGATCAACATTTCAGAATACTGTCACTCACTTTAAAGACTGAGGATATTTAAGTTCATTTAAAAGACCTATATTTTGTTACTAAAAGATAAATAAACAATCAAAAATTAATAAGTTTACCCTGATTTGAAGTTCAAAGCTCAAAATTACTCACCCTTTCTGTATTCGCCAGGAGATCAACACATGCCTCCCCATTCGCACTATAAGCCTCTTGCTCTTCTATGACTTTTTTTAATTTATACACAGTTTCACTACACCAACCACAAAAGGAAACAGGCGCTGTTTTCGTTGACATATTGTATATTATATTCTTAACGTATATCGACACGTTTTTACGGTACTCAATGCAAACATTATTTATTACAATGCTGTTATTCCCAAGTGATGAACATGCTTCGAAATAGATAGCTAACAAGAAAATTACAGAACTCAAAGACTTCTCAAGTGTCATCGCATCGCATAATACAGAGAAAAAATTTAAAAGTAACCCATACTCGACCTTCAAACGACACTCTTTTACAAGCAGATAAACATGAGGAATTTAAAACAGTGGGCTTCTTGGTTTCCGGAGATACGTTTTGGATTCCGAAAACAACAAAACTCACTTTGGGAATCTGCAAGCCTGAAACGATAATTAGGAATAGTGAGTGGTAGTAAGACTATTTGTTAGGCCTGAATAGCCGGAGTATGGTGACGTATATTCGTGATTTTTGTAATCACATTTTTGTTCAATATCTGTTGCTTTTCTGTATCACTTATTTAAAAACGATGATTATTGTTTTGATGCTTTTTACTACCGCGCTGATTGATATATGGCACGTTATCTACGTCGTCTGTCCTTCTGCTTTTTTGGCCACGGCCTTTGACCGAAGACTATAATATTGTTGTAATATCCTTTTGGGCCTTCTTGCACTACGTTAGTATTTCGGCCCGGATCACTATTACATAATACTATTGAACTCTGTCTTTTTCGTCATGCCATCGGTGCTATCATTCGCAGGGGAATCTACGTTAATCAAGTGGACTTATTTGTGGTTGTCATCCCAGAGAGCAGCCTACAAGTAACATTCATTCCATAATATTTGTTATTATCATTTTGTTCAATATACTGTAGCGGTAAATAATTCCCCAAAATCAAATAGCTCTGTAAGTTTTCGACATTGGATGCTGACAACAGTTTTAGTGGACTCATCTAGCTGAAGGCGCTCGGTCAAGCATCCGCACCAGATCACGTGTGGGAACGCCGTGCTCAACATCTGCCGCAATCGCTAGCCAGATTAGTGCGAACGATCCTCGATATATTGATAGCTTATCAAATATATCTTCGATCTCCTCACTTCTGTCTTTTGATTATACTTGGTGGGTGCGCTTCGTATTAGAAGGTGTTACTGGTTAAAGCGTTGTCAAATTCTGAATACCTGCGGCATCTTCATTGGTGAGCACGTCGTGATCTGGTAAACCATATTGTAAACTGTGAGTCTGTTCTTTTTTGTGATTTTATATATCATTGTCTTATTTTAATTTCTTTTTTTACATTTTGATATTTTTCCCCGTGTTTTTGGGTTTATATATATATTTCCCACTCGTTCACTTTTCGTACTTGATATATTACCATGACTGAACAGACCCCTAAAGTATTTAAGTTAAAGACTGTGTCCCCACCCTCTTTCCAACTTATGCCTTTCTGGCCAGACAACATCGAAGCCTGGTTTTGTTACGCAGAAGCCGACTTCTTCGAGCAAGTGTGAACGATGCGCATACACAATTCCTCGCAGTAGTCAAGGCACTACCGCGCGAATTTAACAGGTACGTAACACCTAGTATGTTTACTAGTGATGTTTCTAAACCCTACGAAACTCTTAAACGATCCATCCTTAAACGCGGAGATCTAACCGATCGACAAAGGTTAGACCAACTCCTCAACAACATCGAATTGCAACACGGTTCTGCCACAGACATGTTCCAAAGAATGAGAGAAGTCATTGACCAAAGAACCTTTGATGACGGCCTATTCAAACAACTTTTCTTATCCAAACTTCCTCAACAGGTGCAAGCTGTTTTGGTCTCGTTCCAAAACAACGCGGGAGACGAGCTAGCTGCATCTGCCGACCGCATTCTCGAAATCACTAGGTCTTCTAACGCCGAGGTTTTTTTAGTCAAAGAAAAGCCTCAAACGACCCAGAATAACATAACACAGTTATGTCATACACTTACGCGTTATCTCAAACTCTGTAACGACCGTAAACGATCACTTACCTCGCGGAGAAGCACATCACGTAGGCGATCGTTTCTAAACCTCGAGAGACGGATAATCCTGATTGGTGCTGGTACCATAACCAGTACAAGAAGTCCGCCAGAAATTGCAGAAAACCCTGCAATTTTCCCAACGCGAAATCCGTCGACGCGAAGAACGTTTCGGGAAACTCTTAAGCCGGCACACGTTAACGGCGACCGTAGCCGGCGAACATAGCCGTCGTTTATATGTCACTGATGTGATAACGAGAGTTCGCTACCTCGTAGATACTGGCGCAGAGGTTAGCGTTCTCCCAGCGAATTCCGACGACCGGCTACACGAGCCCATTTTAAATCTACAGGCGGCAAACGGAAAAACTATCGCTACATATGGAAAAAGGTATATTTATCTCAACGTGGGTTTACGCAAACCCATTCACTGGATCTTTGTTGTTGCAGATGTTTCTATGCCAATCATTGGTATGGTCCTTCTACAGCACCACAACTTAATTATCGATACGCGCAAACGGAGGTTAGTAGATGGAAACACTAATTTATCTGTTTGTCTGACTTCTTTTCCTGGTTGCAGGTTATCTCCAGTCACCATTAAGCACACTATAGACCCCTTCTACCAACCACTACTCGATAAATATTCTGGCATTTACCAATCGCAACCGAAATTGCCGTGTGTAACCAGCAACGTTACACATCACATCACGACTACAGGACCACCTGTATTCTCTAAAGCACGCCGACTAGCCCCCGAAAAGTTAAGGTTGGCGAAGAAAGAATTTGACCATATGATAGATTTAGGAATCATACGACCGTCAAATAGCCCATGGGCATCTCCGTTGCATATGGTCCCTAAAAATGACAGCAACGATTGGCGTCCAACTGGTGACTACCGGAGTTTAAATGCGAAAATCACTCCCGATCGTTACCCGTTGCCCCACATTCACGATTCGACAGCTACCTTGGGAGGTGCAACTGTCTTTTCAAAAATTGACTTGGTAAAAGCTTATAACCAAATTCCTATGGCCACTGAAGACATTCCAAAAACCGCTATTATAACGCTCTTCGGACTCTATGAATTTTTGCGAATGCCTTTCGGTCTGAGAAACGCGGCACAGACTTTCCAATGGTTCATAGATGACGTTTTTCGAGGTCTCAACTTCGTACATGCATACGTTGATGACTGTCTAATAGCAAGTCCGGACAGAGAATCACATCTCCAGCATCTGGATCTTGTTTTCGACCGACTACAAAAACATGGCATTACCGTAAACATTCAGAAATGCCAAATCGGAACCGAATCCTTAGACTTCTTAGGACACACTATAGATGCGCATGGCATTCGACCCCTTAGAAAACAAGTGGCGGTCATCCTAGATTACCCAGAACCGACCAACATCAAGCAATCGCGCACGTTTAACGGTCTGGTAAGTTTTTATAGACGATTCATACCGAAATGCGCGTTACTTATGAAACCCCTTACCGACCAACTTCGTGGAAATGCGAAATCCATTAATGTAGATGACACTACCCGAAAAGCATTCTCCACAGTTAAGGAACATATCGCCCGATCAGCAATGCTTGCTCATCGGACCCTAAAGCGCCCATTAGAATCGCAGTAGACGCATCCGGATCAGAAATCGGAGGAGTCTTACAACAATGAGTTAACCACTCCTGGCAACCTTTGGCATTTTTCTCTAGACCGTTGTTAGACACTGAATCGAGGTACAGCACATTCGGTAGGGAACTCCTAGCTATATATTGTGCTGTCCGGCATTTTCAACACTACATCGAAGGCCGTGAATTTACCATTTTTACCGACCATAAACCACTTACCTTCTCCTTAAGCTCTTCTTCAGACAAGTACTCACCACGTGAGTCTCGACAACTGGACTACATTTCGCAGTTTACTTCAGATATTCGACACATTTCTGGAGCAAACAATGTAGTTGCAGACGCCTTATCCCGCATAAATTCCTTGAACAGTTTCCAAGGAATCGACCTTCTAAAACTCGCCCAGCTTCAAAAAGAAGACAGCGGTCTTCAGCACGAATTGTCCTCAACAACACTTAAACAGATGAGAGCAGGTGAGGAAACCTTACTGTGTGACACATCTACAGGTAAGGATCACCCAATCATACCGAAATATTATCGACGTGACGTCTCCAATACGTTACATAAACTTTCTCATCCAGTTGTTCGTGCAACTATCAAGCTTATAGCAGAACGGTTTTGCTGACCTGATATGGATAAAGATGTGAGGGAGTGGGCACGCTCATGTGTAAGATGCCAGAAATCTAAGGTTATTAGACATAACAAATGTCCCTTAGGCTCGTTTAAAACTCCCGATGCTCGCTTCGACCATGTTCATTTGGAATTGGTAGGACCTTTACCAGATTCAAATGGATATTCTTATCTTTTAACATGCGTAGACCGTTTTACTCGATGGCCAGAAGCAGTACCCATCAAAGATATTACTGCTGAAACAGTGGCCCGCGCCTCCGAAAAGAGGTGGGCAGCAAACGTCGGCTGCCCAACAACCATTACTACAGATCGTGGACGTCAGTTTGAATCTGATCTGTTCCGTTGTCTGACCATGAAACTAGGAATCACTCGCTTCCGAACGACGGCCTACCATCCACAAGCAAACGGGTTAGTAGAACGTTTTGACCGACAACTAAAAGCGTCACTATCAGCCTCAAACATTTCTCAGTGGACTGACGCACTTCCACTCGTCTTACTAGGCATTCGCAATGCAGTGAAACCTGACATTAGATACACTGCATCTCAACTCGTTTATGGTACGACCCTTCGACTTCCAGGAGAGTTCGTGGATCCTTCATCCTCTTCGATAGACATGGATCTAACCTCCTACGCGAACAGGCTTACAAACGCAATGTGTTCAGTTAAACCTGTTTCCACTCGACCAAAATCAACTGATGTTTTCGTTCAACCTGACTTACGACTTAGTACACACGTCTTCGTACGTCGAGACTCGCATGGACGACCTCTCGAACCAACATATGAAGGACCTTTCAAAGTTCTTCAACGCGAATCTAAGTACTATATAATCGATAAGAACGAAACCAACGAAAGCATCAGCATCGATCGCCTCGAAGCAGCGTATTTATAAGGAAATCCTATTCACGTCGATTTTCCTTCAATACAATCGCACGACACAACTCCTGCCCTTATAATACCTCAATC